CGTGAGCAAACAAACAATTGCTCTCTCTGTTTCTATTCATGAGGTGATACCCAAATTGGGCTTTGGCATCTCATCAGCTGTCTCCTCATAGAAAACTCAAGCTCATAAACTAATTGGTATTATTACTACACTGTATTAGTAGCCACATAGCTGTGTTCTTTTCAAAATCCGTGAATTTAATTGGTTCTCTCAACGTGTTCTATTTGCTGAGACAACGATTGTGTGTGTGCTGCTCTTGAAACTAAAAATGATTCTTAATTTTAGGCTTAAATATGCACAAAACTGTACGTTTTGTGCTATAATCCTTTAGAATTTTTTTTTTTTATGAGTGACAGTTAACAAGGCTAGGCTTCGCTTCACTCATAGAAAACTTGATCTCACAGTGTCATTGTTAGTTAGATGCTGCTGCGTATTTACTGTATGCCACTAACATAAACTTTTTATTCAATGGGCAATTTACTCAAAATTACCTGAGATGAAAAAATATTTCTAGACAGGACACTTTGGGAAAATGGTCGGAAAGGGGTCTCAATAGCTCTGTCAGATGACACCACCACATCTGCAAGGAACTGGGGCTTGTCTAAAATAAACAATGTTCTCTGTCAAATACACAATAAGTGAAAAATACACTAACAAAACAGGGGTTTCATTAAGGCTGGGTACAGGGCAAATTGACCAGCAGTGAGGACGATTTTGCCTGCCTGGTTTGAACATCTAGAGGAAAGTTTTCCTTGTAAAGAAGTTCAGTTCAAAAAGTTTTGCCTGCCTGTGAAAACCAGTCACCCTCCTGCTGGAAATGTTAATGAAACCTCTGACAAAATTCAGCTTACTCTGGCCAACATCGTGTCTTTTATCTTTTTTTTACAAACTGTAATTGGTACATTTTACATGTACAATATATAGCTTTCTGCAGGAAAACAGTATACGGCTATTTTGACTTCTACACAAACAGACATCAACATGTACATTCTAACATGTATTTGTCATTTCCTTGCCCAGTGCTTGTCCCCCATGGATGCAAGCTGACAGTGATTAACATTATTATTACAGTACCATGCTTTACAGACTTTTTTCAGTGTTTGCCTTTCTCTGTTTTTTCCACACATTATTCTCCTTCAGATATTCTTGTTACACTTTCTAAGCTACTTGTGTGGTTTCTCTGTACTTGTCTTTTTTTCCTGCATTTTCAAATATTATCTTGAACTTTTTTTTCTGTCTTTGTAGTTGTAAATGCAAAACTCAAAACAAAATTCTGCTAGTAAATTAAGCAGTCACATTCTTTATGACATGATATCTGGAATTACATTTACACTCTCAGAGTCAAGATAGCTACAAAAGGTACAATGCATAACAATTTTAATTATCTGAAATATGCACGCAGTATATCATGTGTTATAAAATATTAACATCAGGATAGAATTTTTACCACTGACATTTTTTGACCAGTTGAAATGAAAATGTACCTCTTAATAATTTCTGTGAGTAACGACTTAACAAGTCTCTTAGCCATAACACCACCTGAAACAATAAAAGCCATTTTAATAGTTTAAACAAAATTTAATTCATGGTTAAATATTAAGAACATTTGAATAAAACGCCTAACATGGTGTAAAATGTTTACCGTTTTTAAATTAATACACTGAAGTGATTTAGCAAGAAGAATCTTGTTTTCACTATACATGCAAACTTCTGATCAATAAATTGCACCTTGAATATGCTATGTTTACATTCATTTATTTATTTTTATAAAAGTGTGATTACAAATTTCTATGTTTCAGTTACAGTACTTAGTGAATAATGAGAAAAGAGAATTACAGCCAAAAAAGTTAAGAAAACAAATTCCACTTAACACTGCCATGTAGAGGAATGTTTTACTGGAAAATACACCCCTTGAGAAATCAATAGGAAACTCCATCCAGGACCCGAGTGGCGTATATTCTATGTATCCTCAATAGTGACGATAATGGTGATGTCATTTCCCACTTCTTAATGGTTGTTTATGCAAACAATCAATTTGTCTATATAACAATAAGAACATTAAACGGTAGCTTGAAGATATGAATTGTATTTTCTTGCATTTAAAACAATATTTCACCGCTCAAAATAAAATTCATATATATCTTTGGCTGGAAGTGTAATATCCTCGAAGTAATATATATACTGTAAGGAATTTAAAACAAAAAGATACAAAAGGAGAAACATGTACAAGTGATTTTCATGTGCACCGCAGGATATAAAAATAAGTTTCATACATGTACATGTACATACCTCTCCCCAGGCCTGGTCAAACAACTGACTGACCACAGCATCTTTTGCACACGCATTTGGTGTCACAGGAGGGTAGCCTCGTCTCTGCTGGCGACGATACTTTACATCTTTGCTGGGCTCTGTCCCCTCTTCCTCCCTACAAAACAATGTGAGATACATTAGCTCATCCAGTCTGCGTGCAGTTTCCTTCTTTTGGTCTTCACACACTGTCAGTACTATTTCAGACTAGTTCTCTAAGTTAGACAGACAATAAAAACCTTAGAAAACCAACTATACTGGGTGAAAAAGCTCTAAGAGAACTAACAACATTTGATTCCATCTAGATACAAAAGAAGAGTTCAAACAAACTGTCTAGATAGTTCTAGATACAAAAGAAGAGTTCAAATCAAAACCTACACAGCAGGTTGATCATAACCAAAATACTCCACTACTTCTCCATCTTCTTCCAGGACCTCCTCTTCAAACTCTGTATAGTAGTCATTCATTTCATCTACCCCCAAAATAATAACAAACACTGTCCGTAATTTATTACATAACTTTTAATCAACTTACACTACAGGACGAAGGTGGACAGAGGCCACTGAAAATTCAGTAAAGAAAAATCATAGAACGATCGGATTACAAAAAAAATTAAAAGAACTTACACATGTACATGTAAATGGTAGCAATCTGTACATGTACTGTATGTATTTGTGAATTAATGCACAATATTTTATACACTGCATGGTAAAGGTAAAAAGGTAAAGTCTGCATGCAGCCAAGTGGCCCATCAGGCTGGAGGTTATCCCGGTTCTGTAGCATGAAGCAACTAGGAGTATTTCTACTCCCCCCTGGATGGGATGTTAGTCCATTGCAGGGTTACCCCCAGTATTAAGTTCGCCGGTACCCATTTATACACCTGGGTGGAGAGAGGCACTGTGAGAGTAAAGTGTCTTGCCCAAGAACACAACACCATGTCCACGGCCAGGGCTCGAACCCGGACCGCTCGATCCGGAGACGAGCGCACTAACCATGAGGCCACCGCGCCTCCCATACACTGCATGGTACCTTTGCAAATGCACTGTCAAAGTTCACAAAAGTTCATGAACTTTTATCTATTGAATTTAATACATTTCCCACCCACACAAATTAAAAAAAAAAAAAAAACAGCAAATACATGTACATGCACATGTATTATATAGTACTTTTATTGTTCTCACAAATGGGTATGTCCAAATCATATTTTTCTCAAAAGTGAAATTGTGGAAAACTGTGTGTAGTTGCTCCAAGGGCTTTTTCCTGTATGTATCATTCAGGTCTAAGCAGCCAACAAGACTGTGAGTTGCCAATTTATAAGTACATCACTGAAATATGCTAATGATAATGTATCTGAACTTGGAGTACTTGGATGCCAAAAATATGCATATACTTATAAGCTGTAAATAAAAGCAGCATGAACTGCTGAACAACTCTCACCATTCATGTATGATTCTGGAGGCTCCAACAAAGGATCAACATGAAATCCTTCAATGAACAAACTACAAAAATATTTGCAATTAAAAGATTGACAAAATATGATAAAATACATGTACATGCATGTCAGTAACATTTGAACTAACATATATTGATAAACATAATATACATCATATGCCACTGTAACAAGAATCCTTAGATCAGTGCCTCCCCTCCTCCTTGAATGCTGCAATGCTCATGAATGCAAAATTAATTTGAAATACCGGTACATTCCCCTCCACAGCTTTTTTCTAGGCAAGCACTGAGACAACAGGTGTTGAGAATAACATAAGTTAGAAGCTTTATGTGTATGCTGTTGCTTTTACAAAAGCAGTATGTTATATCACGAAGCTAAAATTAAAAATTTGGGGAAAAAAGTAATTAAAAGTGTGTTTCACACTAAACTTCTTTTGCGTTCTGTTCAATCCTTGCTCTATAGCTACATATATGTACATTGACACTAGTTCACACACCCTTGTGAATCAAAAGCCCCAAATTCCTCAACATCCTCAAGCACAGAAGTCTGTGGCCTCTGACTGAATATCCTTGTGTCACCAGCAGGAAATGGTATTAGCTGAGTACCATCATCCTTAGAACTAAGTAGTTGATAACCACAGATTCTACAAAGCAAGAGATTACAAGAGTTTACAAGATGGAAAAACAACAACTGGTATACTTGTACATCTGTGAACTGAGGGAAAGTATAAAATAATAATTCAAGCCTGATCTGTCATTATGCACATGTACACTGAGGTTTGTCGGCTTGCAATCCTCTTGTTTGTTTGTTTGTTTGTTTGTTTGTTTGTTTTTTGCACTTGAGAAAGATGACGTTATAACAAAGTAATGCAAGTGATAACAAAGTGATGTCTTACATGCACTAGCTGTTCTGGCCTATGATTGGTTACAACATTTGAAATTGACCTTGCAGTACTGAATTCAGTTGGTACCTGGTAATCATTTTTAAACAATAGAAAGAAAATCTATACTTTGTATTGGGCTCCAGTGCCATGCAACTCTGCCCAATGCAGAATACATTTTAAAGAAACACAGAATCATGTGGACACTTACCGCAAATGTGGAAATCGTTGAAACCACTCTTCACACTCAGACAACAGTTGAGGGCTACCTGATGGACAAATCAAGACAGAAAAATCATTACTTGATGTGTGTACACTGTCTCATGGACTGCAGTAATGTAAATATCTCTTTCTTGGAATGAAAGAAGCAGAAAATTATGACTCTCTATTTGATAGGTATTAATACCTGTACAAATTATGTACATGCTCATGCAAAGTATGTTAAAATGTTAATCAAAACTATAACAAAATTCTCGAACGTGATTGGCTATCAGCAGCCTGATTTGAGCATTAACTGTACAGTGTATGCGTCGTGCTTGTAATTGGACAGTACGCGTCATTTTGCGTGCGCTGTTGCGGTGCAATTTGTTGAGTAAACTGCTGTGTTTTTCTTCATTCATAACGACGTTTAATCGTTCAGCGATCAATCAATAGTTTGTTCATTTCTTGAATTTTGTCACAGTTTTGATTAATTGGTAACAGGACATCGTGTCGTCCAATTCAGTCTGTAATCATACTCGTGATTAACAAATTGGACTCCTGCTTCATGGTTGTCCGATTTTGTTAATCACTGGTATGATTACAGACCGAATTGGACTCCACTCAGTCGCCTGTCCTAATTAATTAATTAATCAGTGACAACAACAGAAGGCTCTGAATGAAACTTTCATAGAAAAGGATGCATTGCAGGTTGGACAGTCACTACATAACTACACAAATGTAGGTTTGGTTTGCAATAATTAATAAAAGGCTGTTTTTCCCTCAGTTTGTTTTAGCATTTAATTAAAATCTAATTCATGATTATCATTATCAACATCTAATAAGTACAGTGTACATTTATTAATCAATAAACAAGTACAGTTGCATGAACACTGCAGAGTATCTGCAGCAACTGAAAGATTGTACCAGAAACATTTAAGTGTGTCTAGAATCTGTTTTTTATTTTTTTAAATGTTTCAGATACCTTGAAATACTAAACAATAATTGAATGAGGTTTTTGTGATATCCAGAATAATCAAGGTCACCGTAGGGGTTATCAACTGGAGCCGAAGTCTGAGGCTGATAACCCTTACCGAGACCTTGATTATTCTGGACATCACAAAAACCAAATCTAGTAATTTTTTTTATTACACATTGAACGAAAAAAAAAAAATGGAAGTCATGTTTTTGCTTCTTTGCTGACGGCAAGCACAAAGCGTGCAAACTTGACATGATTATCCTTAGAAATCATGCATCGCATCATACATGACATGATTACCAGTGACCTTGAGTGTCCTTGACATGGTTATTGTATAATCTGCAGCTAGATGACGTCACAGGTGCCAATTTCAAAAATTCACTGTATGCTTCTGGCCAATCAGAAATGAGATAGTGAGTTCAATGTATGATAATTAATATTATATGTATATATCACTACCATAATCCTTGTCTTTAATTACCATGAATGCAAATTACAACTGTCACCAACCATTGAAATGTTGTCCTTCAAAGAGCATTCCATCAATCTCATCAAACATGCGTTTCACTGTTGCTGAGGCCTGCCTATCAAACTCCTAGAGCCATAAGAGAAACAATAGTTGTCAGTAAAAATGAACAACTTTGCACTGTAATTGGAAAGAACCTACATGTACAGTATAAATTAAGATTTTTTTCAGAAAGAAAACAAGTACTTTTCTCCGTTAAGTGCTCCAACAATAAACTAAAAGCCACCTTCAAAACTTTGGACAACCACGCAGTAGCACTACTGCTTGGATGATACGGATCAAAAATAAAAAAGGACAAAAATTTTGGTGAACCAGGCTGCACTGCCATGCATTAACTGTCACCTTGATATTCACAACCATTACAAAACTTTGTGGGTGAAGTGTATCAACAACTGGCAGGGTTACCTGTACCATCAAGGGCCCATCATGCATATTTAGCCATTACAGGTGTTACGGGTGTTTACAACTGTTAATGACAACCCTGCCAGCCATCAACTTTCAGCAAAGGAATTTGCTTATTTTGGCAAATTCACAGTAATATCTACATGTCAATGACGTAGAGAGTATAAAAAATGTACTTCGAAAGGAATGAATACCACAAGGTGACCATACATGTACAGTACTAACCATCAGAATTAAAAAAATATAATTATGTTTTTAAAATGATAGTGTTTTGTACTAACATCTTCATTCCCCCAGGAGTACACACTGCTACGTCCAGTGAGGTTTCCAGTGTTTGTAGACCATGTGTTTGATTCACAGAAGCTATTTACTATGCTGGGGGTGTGATCAGTTGTGGGTGATGACCGTCCACTTGTATCAGGCATGAAGCTAGTGAAGTTACCATTCCGGACTGTCTCAATATAGGACAGGGGCAATGATTCCTCTGGCCTCTCCGGGAGAGGGTGGAGAGCATCCACACTATTGTGAGCAATTCCACGACTAAAGATAAAGCAAATAATCTTCTTACACAGTATTTCAATAAATGAAGACATGCTGTTATGAGTCCAGTCCAGCACTTGAAACTACAGACTGGCTATTACAGCCTACATGGGTGTATGGGTGTATCACAAACAACAGCCCTGTCCAATCTCTGGCATGTACATGTAACAGGCAGGATAAGAGAAGGAAAAGAATGGGTGGCAAAATTGTCACCCATTGCCTGCTGACAGGTTGACACAAGTAAACAAAACTGAAATCTACATTACACAATTAATTCTAAAGTGACGCTCTTCTCTAGCGTCAAAGTTGAAACCAAAACTAAACCTAAAACCACAATATACATGTACATGTTACAAGTAACCATTGTTCTCCTTTAACATGTCTTCTGACATTTCTGTACTTAACAACACTTTAAGCCTAAACATTTGTTCAGCTGCTTCTTAATTCACCAAATAGTTTGCCCATTACTATTTTCAGCTAAATCACCTGATGGAGTCTGTTGATTCAAATCAAACTGACTTTTAAAGGCACCATATACCTTCAGAGGTGTCTTGCGTCCAAGGGATATAACACGTCAGGTTTAAACTGTAGATACCTAAACCCCTATATCAAATTAAACCTTGTAGAGTTTGCTATCACATTATCCAAAGAATTTCTGAATACAATGAATTGTCAAATTTTTCACAACCTCTAACAACAAATGTCTGAATCACCTTTTGAAAGCTATAAGTCCAAGGGAATTTGTTCATTTGCCCTCAAATCTGGAAAGCAGCTAGTTTAACATATAAACAACAAAAGCATGTCTGCAAATTTTTTATTTCGAAATATTTTTTCACAAATGTTGTAACTTTTTACTGCAATTGAATATGGCAAAACACAGACATGGTTTTTTAGCACCTTCAAGGGCCCAGAAACTGAGAAACAAATTACATGTAAACTAACAAAAAAAAACAAAATTCACTTTGAATAGCTGTTTTCAAAATGTGATTCAGACATGTACATTTAGACGTCATGAAAAATTCAACAATTAATTTTATTTCAAAATTCTTGGTTAGTTTGATAGGTGTGTTTTAAAAACACTAAATGGGGAAATAACAAAATTTCATTTAAACAATATGGGATACGCTTAACCCATACAATTATTGAGAGCTAGCCACCTTCACATCAGTGATATTTAGGCTAACCAGAGCGCTATTTACCGAGGCTAACCATAGTGCAACTTCATCATTTCACCAATGCGTGTTTTAAATGCACCCCGGTTTGATAGCCAGCTCTATAAGCTTTAATTTCTTACAGGGGTTTATCTACAGTTTAAAGCTGAGGTGCTACATCGCTTGGATGCAAGGCGCCTCTGAATGCATATGTTAACTTTAACTGAACCCACAGTGTAATCAAACTCAACAGATTGGGCAAAGTATCAACATGCATATCACAAAACTAAGATTTCATTCCAGAACTAAATTGCTAGCTTCAATTCTAAATTTTGCTATTCAGCTTTCAAAAGATGATTTGATGGTGCCAAACTATGAAATTAAAATGTTGTATTACTGGGATTATTTACCTTTCTTTTCCATGATAAATATTTTGTCATGTATTACCGAAAAATTAATCATTTAATTTGCTGCATTACTGAAAGATGTAAGCTACATGTAGTATTAATGTAGCTCTGCATCTCTCGACAGTGAAGCAAATGACATGTAAGTTAATGTAAGGTTATGTAGTATACACTGTACAATGTACATGTAGTTGAAGCGAATCTCCTCATAAAGAGGCGAGTGTCTGATTTCATATTTAACCCACACATTTTCTACGTTGTTTGATTTGCAATTGCAAAACTTTCCTGAAACATTTAGTAACCTCTATGTCGTGAAATAATATGACGAGTCTCAACAAATCAATTCGTGACTGGAGAATACAGATTTCCTGAGATTTCATATCCAAACGACGTTCAATTCGATGACAAGCAACTTGTCGTACACTCACAAGTTATGCGTTTTAAAAATACTCAAACAGAAACAAAGAAAACTCACATTTCAAGAGGATAGGCCCTATTAGTCATCTCTGCATTGTATGTGAGATGCAAAATTCCACTCCGTGTGGAGTTGAAGAACACAGTACGTCCATGACAACAAAATTTGCAACGAAACCACCTCTCCCATCCTCACCAAATCCGTTCCTTCATTGTTATTTTCACCAGAATCTATTCCTACGTAGGCGCTAATTGCTTTATGCCTCAAGTCAATGGATTAGATAACGATTAACGGTAAAAAACCTTGACTCAATTCCCGATATTGACTCACGACACAAGTTCCCAAAACAACAAAATTTAGATGAAGTACAATTCTCCCAGCGGGCTGTGCGCGCGAGAGGATAACTAGAGGCTGCTAAGCAGGCGGTCCCGGTCCGCTCTCTTCCGGCTCTAGTCCCGGGTAATTTACTCCATTCAGTGGCTAAATTATACATACAAACATCACATGAAGAATCTTGGTGTCATTTATTTAAAACTTCTGTTTCGTTCTGCAGAAATAAAACTCGAGGGATATGCATCAAGTGGTAACATAGTTTTCTAGTACTGATCCTGAGTCGCCTAAGTAATCATCCAAATATAGGGCGGCAAGATGTCAGTTGTAATAGATTGGTACACTGCTCACCGCGTTTTACATCTATTTCGATCTCTTCATGTCGTTTCACAGGTCGATTGAATGTAGTTTGATATAGTCAAATATTGCAATTTCAATTAAACGCGACCTCACGAAAATTACAAAAATTAATGACCAGCAAGACAAATCAGGCTTTCACAGTCACAAAAATCAGTTCCCGCAAAATATAAAAATTGCTGATCAGCAAAATTAAACTCCTACAAAAATTTCGTACCACAAGGTACGTTAAACGCTTACTGGAACATTTTCTTCCCAAGAGACTTAGCTAGAGTGTTATTTTATATTTCATGTGATGTCAGACCTTGCACATAGCTAATTATGAAATAATAAATGCTACTGTTGTATTGTGAGGGAGTTCAGTTCTTTACTATAGTTGCTTTATACCGGCAAGCTCTTTTTGCGAGATAAATTTCATTGGAAAGCCTTGGTGTAAAAGAGAAGTGTACACAAAGGCTAGAACACATCATTTTAATAAGAGCAACTTAACACACGTTCGCTCGCTGTTTTCCCTCTCACACACACTCACATGATTCCCGGATGTACATGCACTTGTCGGTACGAAAACTGTCCTAATACACTACAAGAAGTAAGATGTAACAAGGGAGCACACAGGCTATGCAACTGTTTCACTCGATGCATTTTAAATTGCATTATATGTCGTGATATATACATTTTTTTTTCCGGCAGTTAAACGAGCAGTCATTTCATCTGGGAAGTTTACTGAACCTTTCGATTAGGTACAACGGTTCACGTGCGCTGCCTGTGGACGAACAGGAACCAGGAGAACTCGGTGGCGTCCCTAGACGCTTCCAATATTTATCAGTTAACAGCTAAAAAACTCTACTGATACAAGAAAAGGTACGCAATTTCTCTCAAAACTCGTTGATATTGCTTCTTGCTTCAATGATCGTGTAGTGTGCCTTGTGTGCGTTTCTAAGGAGTGATTGCTGAATTGAAATGAGAATGCCTCCCACCCCCTCTCTCCCCCCCCCCCCCCCCCCCCNCTCTCCCCCCCCCGCCCCCCATCGGGTGGGGACTGAATAAGTCCGGATGCTCGCCAGAAAATTTGAATTAAACCCCTACCAGAGATCAATCTGGGTGCTGCTTGAACTTTATTTGAACCCTAAAGTTACTACTTAAAACGAAATAGGCTTGACTACCAACCGCTATTCAAGAAAGGAGCCCGAGCAAGTAGACCGGATTCGAGAGACTGGCGGAAATCGAGCCTAAAATAGGAAACAAGTCAAACAAGAGCGCTTTTCATTATTATTTCCTCGAACGCACCCTTAAAGATACTTTGCCACTAAAAATACTGTCGTTTCGTCAACAACACTCTAAGTGAGACCAGAATCCTTGATTTATACCCCTGAACACTGACGACAAGCATCTCCGACCTTTTCAAATGGGAGTTCCCCCCCCCTCCCTCCCGGGGAGGTAATGCGTTTGCTCCTGTGTTGTTCGATCTGTCGCGGAATGAATCGAGGAGAATTTCAAACATAAAATCACTGAAAATATTCACATCACGATGGCTTACTCTACATGAAGGTGAAAGAGATTTTTTTTCCCTTGTTTAGCGAAATTTCATGAATACGCGGCGGACGCTAAAACGCGAGCCGGCTGATCTAAAGACAAACCTGACATGAAATCTTGAAATTTCGGATCTTCAGTCTGCTATGAAGTCAGATTATACATCCATAAAGGCGACACCGCTACTGATAAGCAAATAATACTATTGAATTGAAATCCAGGACTGAAAATGCGCGGGAAAGAAGCTATCTGTAAGGCGCAGTAGTAACTTTGAAGAGCTTTTATTTCGGTGCAGAGCTAGATCAAAGTGTAACCGACACTCCATGAAGTAGGAAAAATTATCTACGTTATCAGTGGTGTATCATAACATAGATGATCAAGCCGTATTTTCTAAAAGGTAACTTCAATATTTTGTTCCTTACGGCAAAATCCAACCAGCTTTTAATCCTCAAGGACCTCGGTAATTTGACGACGTGCTCAGTGATCTGAATAACTACAGTCAGGTCAGTTCCTTATGTATGTCTACTGGCTTTTCTTTTTTATCTCGCAGCGAAGGTTGGCATACTTTGTGTCGCACCTCTTGATCTCTATGTAAAGGACGGACTCTCTCGAGAAGCTAGACTTCACAATCGGTAAAGTGAACATTACGAGGATTTTTGCGATGCAGTACACATGTTACTGCTATTAATCGAGTTCCGTTCTAGTTTGAGTCAGATCAAGACAAAATGTTATTGCACTACACCGAACTTCTCTTGAAGGTAGTGCATGTACGTAACTTGCTCATGCCGCTTACTTCAGCTCAAATTAAAAATGACACCCGCAACTTTGTCTCAAAAACTTGTCAAACTAAGTGTTGCTAGAGACCATAAAAGAAAACCGTATACAAACCAGCGTAACCATAGAGATTCAGTGTTGCCGTTAACTTGCTACTCGACCCTGTTATAGCAACCATTGCTATAAAACTTGTTTGAATGTCCTTAATTATTTATAACAGGCAAGAAAGCTCTTTTTCAAAATTAACGTATTGTGAAAAGTTCGAATTCTAAAGGTTAAAACCATCGGACGAACGGAAGAAAACGAAACATAAAGGATTATCTTTTCGAATTATATAAATGATATCTCAAGAGTAAAATCGCATTCGCATCTCCATGTAACATTATATAAAATATCAGACTTCGTGGAAAATTCATGTTTGAAATTCAAATTTCCAACTGTGTTCTCTAATTAACGCTGTGCACGGTGGGTACTTACAAGATATTTTGGGTAATTCTCTCATATAATTGGTGGACAAGGCAATCTCAAATAATCACTCTGAAGCTTTTTATGTTCCCTTACGTGAAAATCTACTATCTTTTCGGCTTTTCAGAGATTATGTTATCGCGAGCTATGTAAGGAATAAGAAATACTCAGTACTCATACTGACTAGGTCATTTTTTGAATATTTAAGTCTGATAAATTCAAACTTTTGCCAACTTGTGGCAAGATTGTTTTTCTTCAATTTACTAGAAGCGGATCGAAGCTGAAAACGCAGTTAAAGGAAATTTTTGCTCCTACTGGCACAACAGTTGGTTTCCTTATTTCAACAACAAATATTCCTAATGACGTCTGCTGCAAAAAAAAAAAATAATAATAATAATAATAAAATATTTCAAAGCCATTAATGGGGAAGTTAAATACTAATATATGCGTCATACTGAAAAGAATTTAATTGCGAAACAACCGAGTTTCGCAAGGCGAAAGCAAGTCCATAAATGTGGTATCGTAAAGCTTAGTTTATAGATATCCCTTACCGACTATAATTTCCTTTGAATTTAATTTGACTTTACGCCAGTAGCTGAAAAGGCATATGCCAACGTTATCTCACTCCATCAACACATTATCCTTTGAAAGGAGTTAACAACATATACGGACGTCATCACCCGTGAAATGGAAATCAAATTCAACTTCCCTTCTTCTTAGCGTTAATCATTGTAAACTCTCGATCACAACGAAGCCCGAACTGACGCTTCAATTTACAAATGAAAACTCGTTTTGCGAAATGAGGGACAACCACTACACAAAGCATACATGGCAACCTGAAAAATAAACAGCAGAGGACAGAACATGCGAGAAAACAAATACAGCTATCCTAACTTATACAATGAGAGCAAGAACAATAACGAAAAGTAGCGCGAGTTTTGTTTTTGTTCTCTTTGTGCTCAGCTGTTAGTGCATATCCAAAATCATGGGCTCTTACAAATCAGTCCCTGTCATAAATCACGTGAAATTATTTCTCATACAAGGAAATGTCATGTTCTAAAATTCAAGGTGTCACGATAAAATAATACCCAGTACAGCGCCTAATGATTGAGCGCTTGTCGGTTTTGGTGTATAGTTCCTGATTATGGATTCATATTCTTTGGATCATCACAACGATATTGCCTTCATTGTACATGTAAAAAAAACCTGATAGTATAGGTCATTGAGGAAAATGTTCGAACTATAACTGAATTCGGTTAAATTGTTTCGCTTTGCGGTTCGATAGTTCCTCAGAGAGACGCTCTCGAATGCTCGCCACCGGAACTTTCGTACTGATCGAGAGCGCTATTTCCTTTGAACACAATATTACAAATTTCAAGTACGGTTCTCTAGTCAGCCCAGGAGAGTCACCTGTCCGCCGAGAGAGTCGCAATTTCCCAGGGTCGCTCTCTCAAAACACTCCTCGATATTTCAAATCGTACACAACGCCAGCCCGATGGATTTAAAATACAGGAAATAAAGTTTATCTACAATACCTACCCCCTCAAGATAAACGAAAGTTCCTTAGGTTCTCCTCGTCTCCTTGAGCGTATATCCGCCGGGATGTACATCAAATCTCCCAAGAGAGTCATGAGAGTTGAAATCCATTCGGTGAGTTTTAAATCCTGACTGAAATTTTCTCGCTGACGTTGTTTTGACTAGCCGTACTATCGCTTGGTTGTGTTTCCTAGCGCCACACATCACACAAGCCGTGCGACGCGTATATTTCGAGAGTCTTTATAAAATGCACATTTTCAATTGTCCTTCCCGCCACGGGGCCAAAACATATGGTCGCATCCGGGAGACAAAGCGTGCAATGAACTTTCCCGGATGTCACGTCAGTGAAGTAAAGAAAAGGCTTTTAAAAAGGAAGAGCCCTATATATAGATATCCGTTTTCTGCGCTAATTAACGAGCCGTAGCTATTTTGTTGCTCAGAGCGGGAAAGCACGCGATGCAAACACACTTTGCTTACGTATTTCTTCAGGGCATTTCGTCATGTGATAAGATTTTGTTTCGAACGCACTGCGCTCTGAATATGCTAAAGCGAGATAGAGGACAAAAGCTTGTTCAAGAACGGGAAGCACCTTTGCTTCAGAGAAATAACTATATGAGTCATGGAAGCATGACAAATTTCTCCGTAGCTAGCGGCTGTTATTAAATTGCGACATCCTCTAGCACAGGAAAATACTTGACTCGCTGGCGTCATGAATATTTTTACTTAACATGTGTCACGGAGAAATGTCATTAACAAATATTCATCTGCATCTTTAACTTTATTCTGACTTCAAACATAAGTTTAAACCTTCATATTTCTTTTCCCCTGGCTTCCTGGTTTGAATTTAAGTAATTCGAAACCCAATGCAGTGGCTTTCTGTTATTCTATTAAACAATGCTCCCCTGTTATCCTTGATCTATAACGCATTCTGTACTTCTCAAAACAAAGAATATGCACTGCCATTAATATCGGTAGTTGTCACATCTATTGTGTGTTGTTTTTAACAACCAGAACTTATTTGCATTTTATTTCGGAGTCTTTTCACTCTGTATTTGACAAGCATAGAGCAACTAAGGTAACTTCCCTGAGGTCAGCAAGAAATGACGTTAGGGAGTTAGCTAAGTCAATTATTTGCGAGTATAAAGGGTGTGAAAGCTAACTTAGCTTGACTGCTTCTAGGGAACAATAATTATGACTTCCCTTTCACCCCTGTGCTTCTTTAAGTTGTAAGTATTATATTTGGTCGATCGATGCTTCAGCTAAGAAAAAAAAAGTTTGAAAAGTTCAATCCTGTTGTTTCTGAGCAGAACATCGTCGTTTTCTCGATCCTTCTAAAGAATGTGTGGTTGTTATGACATGGAGGTTATTCAGCCTATCGGAGGAAAACGGTTAAGTAATCTTAACAGTCTTGAGGTCTTCCCGCGACAAAACAAAATATGATGATAAACGAGTAAACAATCCGAGTTTCAGTAACACAATTTTCTTTTGATTTTTTTTTTTTTTTTTTTTTTCATGGGCTGTGTTTGTGTGACAGGTTACGCTCAGATCACGGTTTTTGTTTTTGGCATAGTGTGTTTTATTTCGTATCCTCTAAATTACGATCTTTAAATCTGTTTCTCTCTCCGACGGTTTCCCTTGGTTTTATACATAGTTACTATCATTAAGGTACCGGTTGAAAGCTT